TATAATTAGCAGAAGCATCGTTATCATAATTATCACCGTCATCGTCACCGTTGTCGTCGTGATCGTCATAGTCCTCCTCCTCCTCCTCCTCCTCCTCCTCCTCCTCCCAATCCTCCTCCACCCCACTCATCCCACCCCCACCAGTCCTCTGGTTCACCCTTCTCACTCCTCCCCATCCTCACCGTGAAGGCCTGAAGATTCGTGCGTGTGTTTTTGTTGCTCGATGCTCCAGGATGCTCCTCGATGGTTCTTGCCGAGAAAACATGCACCCGTCCGAGCGATGCCAAATCCTCCTCTTCCTTCTCTAGGGAAACAAAAAGTAACATAAACATAAACACTCGAGGTCCGCGCGGATTTCTCGGATCGGCGCTGGACCCCCCTCCCTGGCGCGCGGGGCCCGCCAGGGGCGGCGCCAGAGGCGCCGCCGGGGGGCCCCAAAGCCGATCCGAGAAATCCGCGCGGACCTCCGGATGTTTTATGTTCATGTTACTTTTTGCTCCCCCAGAGGAGGCAGGTCTGCCAAGTCCTTCTCTTCCTTCCGGGACTCCAGAATCGAGGCTCTTGGGCGTTCGTGGCCCTTCTTCCCGTGGCTCCAGGGGTCCCCAGGCCTCTGGAGGTCAGAAGCGCTCCTGCGGGGAACCCAGAACAATGCATGATGCCCTGGTTTTGTCTCGAGCTGGGCCGAGATTTTCGAGCGGGCCATAGCGAAGACTGGATGAACAACTCCCGGTTCCCTTCCATGCCAAGATTCCCGTCCCCCTCCCATGCCCCAGGTTACTGTTCCTTCCTTTCCATTCCCTCATCCCGCAGGCCTCCTCCTTTCTCCTGCTTCCACCTTCCGTCGGGCCTCCTTCTGCTCCTGCAGGCCTCTTCCTTTTGTCCTTCCCGATCCCCTGGTGGGGTTGGGTGGTGAGGAGGGAGGAGAAGGAGGAGGAGGAGGAGGAGCAGGAGCAGGAGCAGGAGCAGGAGCAGGAGGAGCAGGAATAGGGGCCCTTCCCCCCAGGCCTCCTCCCGCCACCCGCGCCCAGGTCCCGACTTGACGCTGAAGGACTTGCACGTCCCGTGGTGCGCGCCCGTGCCCGCTTTCCTCCCGCCGGCGGTGCCCGTGCCTCCCGTGACGTTTGTCGCCTCGCGGGCGGGGGGAGTCCGTCCTCTTCCTCCTCCTCCTCCTCCTCCTCCTCCTCCTTCTCCTCCTCCTGCTCCTATTCCTGTTCCTCCTCGTTTTCCTCTTCCTCTTCCTCTTCGTCCTCCTCCTCCTTTCCCTCCTTTTCCTTTTCCTGTTCCTCCTCCTCCTCTTCCTCCTCCTCCTCCTCCTCCTCCTCCTCCTCGTCCTCCTCCTCCGTGTCCTCTCCGTAGCCATTTTGGCTCAACGTAGTGGTTTCCCCTGGGAACAAAGTGGATACCGCTAGTTCGCGGCCAGTTTTCAGTTTTTTGCCAGTGCCCGAAGCTTTCACGTCATGCCCAGCGGCGTAAAGTGCAAGCAGAGGATTGGTGCTGCCGTCATTGCACCCACCCAGTCACACAGGCGCCTTGGTGGAATCGGTCGACGTTCACTTCGTGCTCTAAGTGCGGAATGGCCAAGGCCACGGCGTTCCTCAAGCCCCGTCCGCCGCCGTCGCCCAGTACCAAGGCCGCAAGGAGCAAAGGGAACGTCATGCAGAGGGGCGAGACCAAAACAGGATCAGGAGGTTAGCCACCGTGGCATGCCTCACGCCTGGCCCAGCCCGAGAAGCAACTGGAGGAGGCCAACGCTCGCCTTGCTGCGAACCAGCCACCGACAGATCAGATGCAGGTCGACGAAGGGTCGTTGCCCATCAAGGCCACAGCGACGCAGAAGCGGGCCAGGCTCGAGGAGATTGACAAGTCGTTGCGAGCAATTGAAGAGCTCACAGATGATGACTTTGCAGCAGCTCGAACAGCGTTGCAGACTGAACGCAGCCGACTGCGTGCAGAGCTGAAAGAGGCCAAGCCTGTGCCAGCGAGGCCCCGCACTCTCGCCTTCCGGAGCAGCAAGCTGCAGCAGCGCAAGGAGAAGCACTTGGAGGCCTTGGAGGCAGCGAAAGAGGCGCGAGCCAAAGCCCAGGAGGCCATCGAGGAGGAGGAGCGCAAGATCGCAGAACTGGAGAAGCAGATCATGGCGATTTCCGAAGACAAGACCCGCCTGGCCAGCCACATCCCGAGGCCGCAGGCGGCAGCTGACTCCGAGGACATGGCGTCATCGCTGGGCGTCGCCATCAGCAAGCTGGGAGATATCCTCACGGCGCTGGGCGGCTCGGGCCCGATGGCGGCCAAGCTCGGTTCAATGTTGGAGGAGGCCCGCGCGTTCGAGCGCGACGTGAAGGCCAAGCGGAACGCTAAATAAGGACCGAAGCCCCTGCTCGGCCCGAAAAGCGCCTCCGTGCCCGAGAAGGGCGAGAGGGGCAGCAATGGGTGAACCCGGAGGACATCGAGCCCCTTCCGAACCCAAACTGTTCCTTATTTCAGCGCCTTGCCTGCAAGGAGTCCGAGGCCGACGAGCGCGAGAGAGCGGGCCCTGCAGCTGGGACAGCCGAGCCTCAGCCAGCGCCTGGAGGGGGCGCGCCAGCTGCAGCAGACGCCAGCGCGAGTCACGACTTGCCAGTGCCAGATCGAGAGGACGAAGACCTGGATGACCCTCGCGACTGCGTCAAGAATGCTGGAGTCGACGCCGCTGAAGATGAAGCCGAGCTGCGAGGCAAAGTCCGCTCGCTCGCGGAAAGCATGCAAGCCTGGAGAGCGGCCAAGCGCGCCAAGACGGAGGTCAAGCACCAGTAGAGGGATCTGCTGGGCGACGACGATTATACATTGGTTACTGCGTTGGGCCTACTGTCCCACCGTGCAGGCGACCTCGACCAGAGGCACGGTAGCTGGGACAATCGACGCCAACCCCGTGTTCGGCCAGGGGGTCGGCAAGGAGCCAGCGGCAGCTCTAAATTCGCCTGGCTGCGGCTCGTGGAGCCCATCAGCAGTCGGGAGCCTTGGGCCAAGAGCCGAGGCTCGCGGGGCCTCCGCGAGGAGGGCGGTCGTTGCCCCCGCTGCGAGTTCGCCCGGCTGCGCCCAGAGCGCAGCAGTCAGGAGCGGCGCTAAGACGCGCGCAGCGCGCAGGGCCTCCGCGAGGAGGATGGCGCAGCGCCCCCCTGCTGCGACAGAGAGCCAACCGCCAGAAGCAGAGGTAGCCACGCAGGCTGCGAGAAGCGCGCATGCGGCTGGCGATGCGGCGTTCGACTATTCGACTGCGGAGAGAGGTACGATCGCCACCGTCAACTGCTCAGAAGAAAACCAGATGTGTGAATACATGAATGCGTGCACCCACGCGGTCGTCGTTATTCTGGAGCAGCATGTCCTAGGACATCGTCTTGCGGACGCGCAGCACGCAGCTTGTGATTTAGAGATTGGAAGGGAATCTGGTCAGAAGCGCCATTGTCGGACCAAGGCGAAGGCACGAGCTGGCTCGGCCAGCCTGTCACCAGGCCATAGTTTGATCACCAAGCCGCTGCTGCTGCCTGGACCAGCATTTGCGTCTGCCAGAGCCCCAGCTGCCCAGGTGCACCGGGGCATGCCAAGAGGGTTTGTGTATATCAGCACAGATTTCTTCGTCAATGAAGGATGGTCAGAGCGGGTTGTTAGCATACTCGAGGAGTTATGCACATACCTGTCCCGCTTGAACCACGCAGGCCACGATTGGGTGGCCAGCGGAGATTTCCACATGGAAGTGGGGGGGGACTTGTCTCGGGCGCACGGGGCCGGAGGAATGCTCGAGGTCCCTGCGGCCACTACCTGCAGGCAGTCGCCCCCTGGACGTCGCATCGACTACTTGATAGTAGCACAGAACTTAGTTGCACGATCCCCCCCAGCCATCGCACAAGAGAATGTTGCCATTCACCCTCGCCCTCCTGTTTGCATGAGCATTCACGGTAAAGACTTGCCTGTTTGGACGCGTGAGAAAGCCTAAGGCCGCCCCGCGCCAGCCGCCGCCAGGTTGCCCGCGGTTCCCAATCAAATGGGAGGGCGTCTCTAGGCTGATCAGCGAGGCTGGCGATGATGCCTCGCTTCAGATTGCGCGGAATGCAGCGTTGTCTAACCTAGAGCTGGAGATGCTCAATCGATGCGATTTGGTAGGACCACCACGCGGAATGCAGCGTTATCTAACCTAGAGCTGGAGATGCTCAATCGATGCGATTTGGTAGGACCACCAGCCCAGCCCTATCTCGGCCGAGCGGGCAAAGGGGAATTTGTCCTTATCAAGTTTCAATGAAGCCAGCTCGTAGCCGCGTGCGCCTTAGCCCACAGGAGCAGGCCAGGACGGTCGCAGCTCGGTGGGCCAGGCACCTTCGTCGGAATCGAGAAGCACTGGTGCATGCTGCCACCGGCGTGGCTGATGCGGAAGCCAAGGGAGAAGGCGCCAGGCAGCAGCATCGCAAGACAGCCCCCTTGCTGGCAGAACTTGTTCGGTGATTGGGGCGCGTCGCCTCTGCCCCTGAGTTGCAGCATTTGACATTTGTGCCCGCCAGTTCTTGGGGGCTGGGATGGACGCGCTCACTCGGCCTGAGTTCGATGACGAAGTTTCTAGGGCCATGTCTGAAGCCGCCAGACTTTCGAGGCAGCAGGCGGCCAAGTCAACAGAAGCCTGGAAGCAATGGGCTCTCGCTTCGTTGAGAGGAGGCGGCAGATTTGCTCGCGGGCACTGCAAGGGGCAAGCGCTGCAGGAGGTGCGCGAAGCCAACCACCTGCCTCAGACCACCGCCCAACCTCACCTGCTCGCGGACCGATCGATGAGGGAATGGGTTGGGATGTGGGACCACCATGGCGTGGATGACCCCCCCCCCCCTGCCTACTGATGTCAGTGCCTGGGACGATTTGCCAACCAGTTCGGCCAGTGACGTCCGAGATGCGCTGCTCAAGTTCCCATGGGCCACTGGAGTGGGCCAGTTTGATTTTACCCCACGCAGCTTGATATGTATAAGCGACCGCGGGCTTCAAGCCCTGGCGGAATTGTGCATGCGATGCGAGGCCCCGTTCAATGGCCATCTCAACGACTGCTCACGCAGCCAGTTCGCATCCCGAAACCTATGGGGGGATGCAGGCTGATAGCGCTGATGCAGGCGATGGTTCGAGTCTGGGGTAGCATGCGCCGCCCGCTCGTCGCCTCCTGGGCAGCCAGCAACCCCCTGGAAAGCATACGGGGATCAGGAGTTGGCCGATCCTCCTCAGATAGACCCTTTTTCGCTCAACTTGCATGCAGAAATTGCCCGCGAATGAGACGCGGACAGCCGCGCCGTCTGCGCATATAAGATTAAGCGTTGCGGAAAGGTCATCTGTGAGCGGTTGTTAGAAGAGGCTAGAACGGCTAAGTTTCCGTCGCGTCTCGCCCCGATGGCAACCCAATCGCACATCCAACCCCGCCCCGCCCGCGCCTTATCGAGCCTCTCCTTCTCATGCCCCCCCAGCCAAGGGATTCGAACAAGGTGTTCGCTTGCCACATCTGCGTTGCAGGTGCTACCCGCGGCCCTCTGCGAGCCAAGCAGATTGATCCAAGCGCGAAGCCCCGCGATCTGATGGACGATGTCAGTTTTCACCGGTCGGGACACCGACTTGGCAGAGGGGACGTCGGCAACGATGGTTCTCAGGAGTTGGCCCTGGTGGTGCGCAATTTTAGAGACGACGCTAGGCCGCTAGGGCCCATCATTCAACCAAGCAAATCAGGTTCTGCGGCCAATTGCGCGCGCAGCTGCAAGCGATTCGCAAGGCATGTCTGCGCGCCAGGGATCGCCAAGAGAGCGGCGATGCGCAACCTGGGCCATGATGCATGGCTCGAGGGTTAGACGTGCGCAGGAAAAAATCGCACGCGCAAGGTGCAGGCCAGGCGTCGGACGGTTTGGGGTCTCACGCACGCGGCTGGAAAGTCGGCTAAGACCCCTTGGAGGACGGGGCTCCTTCCAGCTGCTGGGCATGGGGTGTCTGGGATGTCGGAAACATATCCTCGTGAGCTTCGGACGTTTGTGGGAGGTCTTGCGGGGGCCAAGCCAGGCATGTCTGACTTTGTGCCTAGCCACTCAGAAGGACGATCGGTTCGACACGAATGTTGGTGCGATGGCTCCGCTGATAGGGCG